TGTGCAGCTTTAGGCAGATTGACATACACAGCAGTCCAGAGACCAATAGTCAAATCCACCAGATGCGACCCTCCCCCAAACATGGGCATGGGGCTCCACACAGCACCCCTTGAAGCGGACAGGAGTAGTTGTTCTGCAGCGTGCTTCGGGATTGCTTTAACACAACACGCTGATTCCAGTAACAACCCTGGGATATGTGGTTCTAAGTCTTCCGCTCTCTTCACGCGAGTCCAGAGCAAACTGGCGTAGACTCAACCAAGCGTTTAAGGTTGTGCGTGAAAGAACACGTCAAAAGCTTGCTGCGGCTTTGCTCGCGATGGTGCTCACGTTCCTCGGGAGTGGTGTTGGCCGTTGCCCAGACCAGGATCCCGGAAGCTGAGCTCACAAGAAGTTCCCAAGGTTCGAAGATATGCCGTGATCCCTAAAATTCACAGCAGCAAGATGAGCACTAACCACGGCCTTGCTACGACCAATGTGGAGGATCACGGCCATGTAAATTCTTGTTTACTTGTACACAGAAACTGCAAACCAAGCACACAACTGTGCGTTCCGTAATGCTTAACGCTCAAATCCAATGCTGCCCGTGCCCAATTCTTCATGAAACCATTTCTTTGCAGTCCAAGTCTTGGACCCTTGGACCCGCCGCAAGGCAGTCTAGAACTTACTCCCTCCGGAGGTGCGCTTCCTCGGCTACCAGCAGCCACTACGACGTATGGCTGTCTGCGTTCCAAGGCCATTGTGCCACTCAAGAAGAAGGACAGGCCTGAAAGTCGAAGAGACCATTGTCAAGTTTCACCCCATTGTGCTCTCTCATCCTGCTTTGCTATTTCCATCATGACATCGGCTGCGGCACCACACATCAATCCACTGCGGCGGCTCTAGTCTTTCTGCCAGGAGCGCTCCAAGGCGGGGCGCATGCAGCAAAGCAAGAGCTGCTTGATGAGAGGGAAGTGGAGCCATTCTGATTCTCGGAAGCTTCGGCTTCACAGCTTGAGGATCGTACTTTTCCATGCCCTTCCGGTTCCACCGCGCCACCAATGGCGAAGAAGTACCTCCTTGCTGCCTGCTGTCATGCTTTCTGCACACGCTGCATGCTTTGCCCACCCACCAGACCGCAGCAGAAGCATTGCCTGCGTTGGCCTGAGATCGGGGAGCCGAGCTCTCGCGAAGCCAAGTTTCAAGAAACCCTCCAATTCCGGAGCCCTACTCCCCCGAAACCTTACTAAGGCGAAGCCTAAACCCACAGAGCGGGAGAGGCCTAAACCCCGAATCCTTAAACCCTAAACCCTAAGGGGTTCAGGGCTTAGCTAGGGTTTCGGGTCTAGGGTTTAGAGTTTGTTTTTTGTTTTAAACCCTAAATCCTGAACTGAACCCTATACCCGAACTAAGCCCTGAACCCCTAAACCCCACGACCTCCGAGCCCCACTAAACCCTGAAGCCCGACCCCTAAACCCTTAAATCCTACGACACAAGAGCGACAAGAGCCCTAAGAGGGTTTAGGGTTCATATACCCCGACTTTTAAGGGTCATTTGGTCCTTAAGGAAAACCCCTAGAACCCAAGAGCCCTAACCCCAGAGGCTTCAAACATACTTATTTCTTTGGGTTCCTTATGACAAGTATACTATAAAGGTTTAGGGTTTTGGGTTTAGGGTTTCGGGTTTTGGGTTTAGGGTTTAGGGTTTAGTATATTGTGAAGGAGGCCACACACCAATTCTAATTGAAATTGCCCCCCCCCCCCCCCACATCACACCCAGCAGCCAGGACAAGTTCGGCGCAGAAGAGGCCAAGCAGCGCCTTGAGAAAGGCACTTCCGCTGGGGGCCGAACTGCTAAAGCCATAAAGCCCCTAAAAACCCCGAAAGCCCTAAACCCTGAACCCTAAAACCCTACAAACCTGAACCCTAAAACCCTAAAGCCCTGAAATACCCTAAAAACCCTGAACCCTAAAACCCTTAAAACCCTTAAGACCCTAAATACCTGAAACCCTGAACCCCTACAACCCTAAAACCCTAAACCCTGAACCGCTACGTGGGTGGAGAGAGAGAGAGAAAGAGAGAGAGACGTGCCAAAGCGACTCCGACCTACACCCACAACCCTGAACCCTAAAAATCTAGAACCCTAAAACCCTGAAGCCCTAAAACCTTAAAACCCTAAAAACCTGAACCCTGAACCCTGAGACCCTGAAACCCTAAACTTGCTGTAGGGCTTCGGGTTTTGGGGTTTAGGGTTTGGGGTTTAGGGTTTAGGGTTTTGGGGTGGTTTAGTTATAGTGAGCATCCTCAAAGGATCGGATTGATCAGAACAAAATCACAGTGTTGCCTGCATGCAGAGCCCCCCAAACTCCATGTTAATTAGTCAGACGCTTGTTCTGGGTTTCGGATGCCTTCTGCAGAATCGCAGCCATCTGTCGTCTTGAAGAAGAACACCTACATCATGCGGAAAGCTTTACCACAAAGCTTCGAAAAGCTCAAGCCCCAAAATGCTCCAAAAAAGTCCATCTAAGTAACCGGACGCTTGAGAGCAAGTTCCTTTGTCTTTGGCTAACGGCCACGCCTTAAATCAAGCCTTACAGTTTGAATCTGAGACAGCGTCTTCGTGCCCACCTTCACATCCACCTACAAAAATGCAGTCGCAAGGTTCCTAATATATGTATATATATATATACTCATGGGTTACTTAGTTGTTCCTTTTGGGGATTACCTTATCGGATTCCAAATATAAACCACAAAAAGGAACTACTTAGGGGCCTATGGGTATATATAAGAAAGCTCCAACCTGAAGAGCCGTCAACAATGCCGTGAACAAGGCATGAATTGAGCGGAACAAAAGCACTACCACATCAGTTCAGGGCCATGAAAATATCTTAAAACCCAAAATCCGAAGCCCGCAACCCTAGGCCCTAAGCCTTAAAGCCTAAACCCCTAAACCCTGAACCCCAAAGCATAGGCGAATTAGTTTAAGACCTGCGAAGTCAGGGAAGGAGCGATCCTCTTGCGGCAGGCCCGTGAGACCAGAGATGGGAGAGGGTCTTCGGATCTGATGCTCTTGTGTTTGGGGTTTAGGGGTTTAGATTTGGTTTTAGCATGGGTTTACATTGGGACCGTTTAGACGGACATGGATAGATGCTGACTAGATATCCAAACGAACAACTAGAGAATGACATTCATATTCATAGTATGTGTGTATGTGCATGTACGCGTGCATGTATGTATGCATGCATGCCTGTAGTCGTACATGTATACATACAGCTTTACATGCACATACAGATTGCTGAGAGGGAGGAGTCGGGGGCGCAAGGTCGCTTGTGTGTTACTTTTTTTGCCTGAGAGCTTGTGCGTTCGGTTTTGTGGGTTTAGTATTTCCGAGTTTAGGGTTCGGGTTTGGGGTTTAGGGTTTGGGGGGAGTTTGGCGAGGCGTTGTATTTTAGGCCAGCTTGAGCCCGCCACCGAAAATAAGAAGGTTCCCAGGTTTAGGGTTAAGGGTTTAGGGTAAGTTGTAGGTTTTAATTATGGGGCTTTAGGGGTTTTAGGGGTGTTAGGGTTTTAGGGGTTCAGGGGGGTTAAGGTTGGTGCAACATGGTGGGGTGTTGTTATGGCCTCAGGGGCATGATGTGACCAGCGGCGAATCTTCGGAAGGCACATTTCTGGGTAGTCCCAGAGAACCCAATAACCCTTAATTGAGGAATATACCTTAAATTATAGGGGCCTTAATATGCTGATTTGAGCACGTTCTGGGTGGTTCTCTAAAGTACCCATAGGCTCCTTAGTAGTTCTTTTTTGGTATTACCTTATACAGGGTTCTAAATATAAACCACAAAAACGAACTACTTAGGGGCCTATGGGTAGGTCTCTAAAGTAGTGTACCTTTTGGGGGGGTGCTTTTTATAAGGGTGCCGTACTGTATTTGGGGACCTAATAAAAGGGACCCTTAAGTAGAAAACACGCAGAGCAATCGAGCCCAGCATCGAAGTCTAGCGTTATAACGACCGCTATGCCACAGAACGGACATCCTTGAAAAGTGCAGAATGGCTGCAAAATGGATGTGTGAAACCAATGTCCATTTCAGTTGTATTACAGAAATGGAGTGTTAATTGAATGTGGGTAATGCATCCATTTTTTTGAGAAGGTGTCAGCGGACATGGGCCTTGGCGTCTGATCAAATTGTACCGCTCAATGCCCGAAATAATCATCTGGAGACCACCCTCCCTTAGGACTTTTCTTGGACGTTGCCTCTGCAAACCCTTCCGTGACCACAGTCCCAAGCCCATTTCGGGAGTTCTGCTTTCCAGGCTCAGTAGGCCCCAGACCCAAACAAGGCAGCTCACAGTCACAGTTTCGCACAGGGAGGACAAAGCCTAGAGCCATGTCAGAGCCATGCGGCGGGGAGGGGTGAATCCCAACATCCGTTTCACATCCATTTTCCAGGGGGCCGGAACCGCACATCCATTTTACATCCATTTTTTGTCCAGAGGGCCGGAACCGCACATCCATTTTACATCCATTTTTCAAGGGGGCCGGAACCCAACATCCATTTTCCAGCCGCCATCTAACATCCATTTTACATCCATTTTCCCAAGAGAAAATGGATGTACAATGGATGTTGGACGGGGTTCCGGCCCCCGGGGAAAATGGATGTAAAATGGACGTTGGGTTTCGGCCCTCTGGGAAAAAATGGATGTAAAATGGATGTGCGGTTCCGGCCCCCTGGAAAATGGATGTGAAACGGATGTTGGGATTCACCCCTCCCTGCAACATGGCTTTGACATGGCTCCGGCTCTGGGCCTCGTCCTCCCCATGCGAAACTGTGAGCTGCGCGCACCTCCCCCTGCCCTGTCCCTCCTCTCCCTCCCAACTGGCCGTTGAGCCTGACCATGATATACATGGATATCTTGTTCAAAAACTGAAAAATAATTCTTGGAGGCTGTCGTTTTGGTCTCCCAAAAGATTTTCCGGAACCGGTTTGGTGGAGCCTAATTCAAAGCCTAAGTCTTGCACCGACAGGCGCAGAACGAAAAGAGCAACGTGACAACATTCAGTTCACAGTCCATTTCCAGATCAGACTGTTAATGGCTGTTCGTTTAACGTCCATTCTCAACATCCATTTTTGTACTCCCAACATCCATTTCCCCTCTCTGGGCTCTGCCGGTAATGGGCGTTATAACCCTAAACCCTAAAGTCCCTCAAGCCTCCGAGGAGAGTCAGTGGCTTCCGGATCCTTCCGCACAGCCTTGGGCGAGGAGTTCCGGCCTCTTTCTTCGTATGAGCGCCTGTGCTCGAAAGGAACTGCGTTGTAAGTTGTGGGGTCTGTGAGTACGTGCTTCCTATACTAAGCATGACTGATCGTGAGATGCAGGGGACGTCTAGGGCTGAAGGGTTAGAGTTAAGGGTTTAGGATTTAAGGTTTAGGGGTACCTTGGGCCTATAACAGCTTATAACCATACTTAAGCCTCTAGGCCCCCCAAGTAGCTTGCAACTCACATCACATGCCAACCCCCCGTATCCTAAATCCTAAACGCGACCCATAATCCCAGCAAGCCGGGCTCTTGCGAAGTAGGAGAACGAGCTCTAAACCCTATAGAGCGTTGTAGCCCCAGGAAGTTCCGCCCCGGCATTTCCGACACCTTCTGGACACTTTACTTGAGATGCTCTTTGCAGCTCTGCCGTTCCTGGAAGCAACGCCTCTCCAATTTGGGCCTCGTGGCCCTGTTCCTGTGTGTTGTGCGTGCGCTCCTTGGGGACGATGGAGATTTCGAAGATGTTCTGGTGAAGTTGGGGATCGCACAGAACATGCTGATGCTCCCTGTGTGCATCCACAGCATGAATGTGTTCAGCTGCGATCGCTTGGAGAGAAAGCGAGAGGACACGGCTGGAATTCCCATACTCTCGCAATATCTGGCAAAGGACTTCTGCCATTTTGCGGAGTTGCTACTCTTTGCGGTTCTGTGGACAGGCAAGGTACTTTGTAGCGCGATAAGCCCGTCCGACTTCCTCCCCACATTGCAATTTCCCCTGCCGAGCATAGCATTTCTTCGCTGTGAGCACCCCGAACCTCCAGTTTCCAAAGCCTCCCACACCGTATCCCCACAGGCAGGTGTTCTCAGCAAGACAAATGGAACTAAGAGCACGACTGCAAAGAATGCCATTGGTAGATCTTACAACAGCTTTATCGGAAGAACCCAGGGAATGCATGGATTGATTGATTCTTCAGACCTCGAAACTCGGCAGGGAGGAACCTATCCGGCACGGTGCAGACAGCCTTGGTAGTTTCATGCCGCGTCTTCCGGTGGTACAGGTTCAAGGATCGGGCCGTTACACCCCTGAATCAAGGAACACTCCTGAAATTGTCTTGAGATGCTTCAAGCACGCCTTAGACTCTGTTTGACTTGATTAGGCAGATGCACCTGCAGCCAGGAGTCGCAGTAAAGTAGTTATATGGTGTTATATACACATATCTGTGTTTCTAAAAAATATAAACATAAATAGAAATAAATACATATGTATGTATGTATGTATGTATGTATGCATATATATATATGTATATTTGTACAAGTGACTCTCCATTTACATATTAAATCCATGTGTTTGTTTAAACAATTGAGTTTCTACGTCTGCGCAGCGAGAGAGAGAGAGAGAGAGAGAGAGAGATGGACGGAGAGAGAGACAGCCCCTCACGCCCAATGGAAGAGGAAGAAGAAGAAGCAGGAGAGAGAGAGAGAGAGAGAGAAAGAGAAAAAACATACTAAACATACATAGGTGGAGTGGCACGACATGTTGGCATCTGTCCTCAACTCGAACGTCAGGCATATACGGGCCCTTCTCGAAGGTCGTGGCAAGCCCTTGGACCCTGCTTCGCTTAGCAGTGGCGCAGCTCGGGCATTCTCAATCTTAATCGTTCAGGATTTAGGTTTTTGGGGTTTACTGCGTGCCATTGCAAACATTGCGGCAGCTGCAGGATCAGGTCAATGTGCGCTGCAGCCCCTGCTCAAAAAAGCGTGTAGGCCTGAGATTGTAGGGTCTAGCATGTTGGGAACAGGATTCGGGGCATCCCATGACGACCTTTAAGGTGTGATACATCTCCGACCCATCTCAGGTTCGAAAGCCGTCTTCCCATGAGACTTAGGCTGCTACTCGCGCTGTACCCACTCGAAGCGACAAAACCTTAAACCCTAAACACCTTCCACCGCTAAGGCAGTGCTACATGGCTTACGGCCTTTCCTTCTTCCTCTCCGTGAACCTCACGAGTCCGAGCACGGCCACGGTGACAATCATGCTGCCTAGATTGGCTGAGGGTTAGTTAGAGGGCTTTGGGGGATTGGTTTAGGGCTTATGCGTGTAGGGTTTAGGGTTTAGGGCTGGAGTGAGGAATAAGCAGCCGGAACATGAGATTTTGGCTTGTGAAAGAGAGGGTCATGGGATGTCACGCCCTCGTGGATTTTGTTCATGTGTTTTTGGGGGCCCTTATCGAGTGGCGGGTTGGTTTGCTGCGTAAGGTGTACGTGGGGCTTCGGGACATGAAGTAAGGTATGGCATCATAAAGCTTATACGAACAACAAGCAAACAGTGCCAGTGCACGACGGAGCACTGCAAAGTCGGAAAAGCGGTTTGTCTAGCATGCACCTACTCATGCGGTGCTTGGGCATATTCACGTTGGCTAGGTGTTGTTTGTCGTATATTATGTCATATTGTTTTGATTGGTTTTGTATTTTATTTGCCAGCAGTCATCCTTGATAGGCATTGCAGGTTTAGGCGGTCATGCGCTTAAGGTTCATCTTATCTCGATCCAGCATCCTGAACTCTCAAAAGACCCGAATCTATCGACATAGCGCAATTTACATCATGGCCTCCCGAAGGCCCGCCCGAAATAGAGCTCTGGGTGAACAGCATCAGGGTTGTGGCTTCGGCGTTCAGATATGGGTTTAGGGTTTAAGGGTTTGGGGTTGGTTTCTAGTTTCAGGATTTCCTTAGCAGTAGGTTCTTGACCTTAGGCTGCTACTCGTGGTGGCTCAGCTGTGTTCCGGTGTGGACCTCATCGCTTTCGGAGAGGTGCAGAGCGCGCTTTACGGCATAGGCCGGGACAGTTCGATACTTCAACCATCTGAGCATAAACCTACTGCAGTACACAGTTACCAAGACGGGACACAAGAACGAAAGTCGAGAAGTTAGTAATGAACTTGACAAGTTGGGCGGGCTTTTCCGGTTCGCGTGCCGTGGCTTCCAGCGATCTGTCTCTGTGTGTGTGTGTGTGTTGCACTCTCTCCATCACTGTCGGTGGGAGACTAAAATCTCTATTCACTGTATCCCCGGATCTTTTCGCGCGTATTTCAACTTTCCCGAAATGTCTATAACGTTTCGTTGGAGCTAGGCCCTAGGCGTCTCGGAACCAAGAAGGCGCGTGAATAATTCGAAAGGGTTTTCAGGTATGTTTATAGTGCAAGACTTCAGGGATAACTTGGACAACTCAATACCTCCATGGGGACTCCGCACAGGTTCACGAGATGTAGATGAAGTGTCGTTGCTCTGACAACAAAATATGACAGTAAGTGTACGTGCTACTTACCTCATGTATAGCCCTACTTACTTAACTCAGTCCCCCGGTCCTTTATACGGGAATACGATTACTGATGCACTGGCGTGGGTGGCAGATTGCGGGTGCTAGGACTTATTCCACTCCGAGCGTAGACATGTCAGGGGGTTTGTGAGTTTTTGAAAATGTTGGAGGTTTCGAGGCGTTGTGTTTTGGTTTGGGGCTTTGGTGGTTTAAGGGCGTGTTGAGTTTTTATGTGTATTTGTAGGGGCATGATCAGGTTTGGGGCGTTTTAAAATTCAGCGGGCCCGGAAGCTGTGCCGAGCCGTCAGGATGGGTGATCTTCATACTCTCGCCGTCCTTCTACACGGTACCTTGGGTCCGGGAGCTGTTGGGGAGGCGAAGAACGGGGTGCTAATCTCGGCCTTAGTCAGGTCTTATTCGGCATTCCAACACAGGGTCCCTGCTGTCTTGGGTGCCCTTTGGACCCTGTGAACTCTTTGAACGTTGTAACCTACACTCCTCAAGAAGAATCGTATGGCAGAGCAAGCTATATACAAACAAATTTGGCCCCAAACCCTATGACCTATGCTGCGGTGGAGGATCAGACATCGGCTCAGACTTAGGAAAAAGGCCGGCATATGTATGGGGTTGAAGCCCATGATGACACTCGTGTTGTTCATGTCGGTTGATACCATATAGGTTGTGGCAATGCACGACAATCACTACCACCACAAGGAACACTCATCCGCCTGCTCTTTCCGCCACTACATAGACTGCTACTGTTAGGATGGTTGCTCCTTACTAGCGTCACTGCCGCCGAAAGCCGAGAGAGCTAGAACCCCTTCGCTGACGCAAAACACCTCATACGCAAGTTGAACATCACATGCCGGACCCAGATTCTCTCCACTTTTGCTTCCTAGTTTTCCAAGCAAATCAGTTGCCCGAATCTGTAGATGCTAAACCATCGGTCACGATCGACCATGCAGCCCGAACCCGAAGAAATCTCAACCCCGCAAGGTAGAGCGGATCTTGCCCATCTACCTCTTTGAGGGACTCGAACCGCTACTAGGGCTGAAAGGCCTGGGGAGTTGGACTTTCAGAGCTCTGGAGTGGGGCTTTTTTCCGGACCTGAAGGACTCGAAAGCAATAAGACTCTGGGGTCTTTGGAGTGGGTCCTGGGAATTGAAGGGTTGGGGCTAGTGGGTACCTCAACATACTACGTCAGGGGTGTATAGGTTTTTTGGTTAGGGGCTCAGAGCTTAGCACTTGGATGTAAGTTTTAGCATGAGTACATGGGTGGTAGCCTCGGTAATCATCTAGGTGCTCTCTGATTGGAGAAGATCATTCGTAACTACGGCTCTTACCGAACAGCCTGCACAGTGCTGGAGTCACAGCAGGGGGCCAGGCCGGTGACGACTGCCTGAGTGACCTTGAGCAGCGATGGTGGTCAAAATACCAGAGCAACCCAAGTGTCCTACTTGCCAGATTAGCCAAGTTCCTTGACCTTTGTCAGAAGCCTTTGTTGAGCAGGAGCTCACACAGGCACTGCTACAACTTGGCAAGGTTGATGGGAAAGGCGCTGCTTCCATCTGAAAAGCAACAGCTAGAAGATTGTAAGCTATAATAGCTCCTGTGCAGAGCTACGGGGCTTCGCGACAGAATGGCGCTTCAGCTTGGGGATCTAGCGGACCCTTCTATATTCAAGGAATTGCATGGGCGGCGGTCACGGACTCGTGGTTCTACGACAGCGAAGGTTCCGACGAAGTTCGCCCTGGGACCAGCAATTGCTCGGAAGGAAAATTTGCCCTTCGCACATGTGGATGTGGATGAACTGGCTGACTTGGCTGAGAACATGGGGTTTAATGTCATGCGCCTCTCTGCTACATCTAGTCAGATGGAGGAATTTGCGGCAAGAGCAAGACCAGAGCTGCTCCACGTTGCTTGCCACCTGATTACAGGCAAATCTGTTGAGGGCTCTTATGTGTTTTTTTGGGCCCGGGTGAAACATGGTCTTTGCAGCAGATGAAGAGCGCCGTACCGCAACGCTGCAAGCTGGTGTTTCTGTCCGTCCGTGTGCAACGGATCGCGCCAATCTTCAGGCAGAGAGTCTTACGACTGGTTGGCTTCACTTGGGGCAAGCCGCGAAGTTGGTTGCGCAGTCTGGAGCATGTGGAAGTTGGATGATGCCGTCGTTCTGCCGTTCACGCTTTCGTTTTACACACACATCTTCCGGCACATCTCACATCCACCTCAGGCACTGCATGCAGCGCAACTGGAGCTCGCATCATGCCAGTTCCAGTTGCGCTTCATGCAACTCGCATCCTTCTGGAATCGTTCATTGTCTGGACTATTTTCATTCGCACGTCGGAAGATGGAGTCGTTTGATTTGTGGTCCAGGCGTGGTGACCTTGTCCAGGTGATTTCTGCAGAGTCGAGGGGCTCAGCGACACAATATTTCAATAGGATGAGCATTCCGACATGCTGGAGCTCTGGAAAGCATGCGTTGTCTTTTGACGAAATCCCGCAAAGCTTGCAGCGGATGCCATGCAGAAGCCAAAGGCATAAAACAGAGACAATCGGAGAGCGTTTCGAAGCTGCTTTGCAGGCTTTTTAAAGTGGATGAGAATGAAGCATTCCGTTACCATTAAAGCAGTGGTTTTGCCATACGATCTGAAGGTGCATGGCTGCACAGCCATTTCATTTGGGAGCCGTCTGGGGTGTGTTCCTTTCCGGATGGCGGGTTTGCCGTGGTTGAGAATGACGCCAAGCGGGTTGCCATCTTTGACGGAATTCGCTCAGAGTGGCCGCGGATGAATTTAGCATGGTGGGTGGATCGAATCGCTTTGGGCGGAGTGTCTTGCACAGGGAGCGATGCCAACCGGATGTTGGTAGTGGGAGGGTATGAGGTTTTACTGTTTGTCTTCGCTTGGCCACGTTGCCTGGATCCACGAGATCCAGACAGGCGCAGTCGGACTTCCCACGAAGGGTTTTCCGAGAGTTTACTCGATGTCCATGGTTTTGATGCTGTGGCATTCTGGGAGCCGTCCATATCTCGTTGCTGCAAGCGTTCGTGCGGAGCTGCTGGTGCTGTGTGGGCGAAGTGGTGAAATGCAGGCAGAAGTGGCACCCTGCGCTCCAGGGCACCCCCACAACCGCAGTTGTGAGGCTTGAAACCGTTGAAGTGGCATTGTCTGGGTGCTTGGATTCAGCACGTGCAGAGTTACTTGTGCTGGTTGACGATGGCTCCTGTTGCCTGAATTTCTTCGATGCCAGCTCCAGGACTCCAGATGCAGTCCTGCAAGTTCGAGTCCCGAAGGGTGGCATGGCGAGAAGCTCACGAACGTTCCAGTGCAGCATTCGCAAACACAAAGCCAGCCGCCATGTTCAATTCGGCTTGCGCGTCCGTCGGGCTATGGTGCTGCCCGACTTGGAATGGGTCTGCACAGCGTTGGTACGTTGCAGTTGGCGGCGTGATGAAAGTTCTTGATATTCGGGCTACATGTGATTGCGACTTTTCAAGGCCACACGTTGTCATCAGCAGGTTTGAAGCGTTGGCCACTATGATTTTCAGTTCGGCTTGATCAGGGGTATATGCATCCTGGTTCATGAACTGCTTGTGTCCCATGATTATCAGTTGGCGCTGGTTCAGCTGCAACACCTGACGGAACGAATCGAACAGGATGATTCCGACAAAATGCGCACCTCGCAAAGCTGTTCGTCAAACTGTCCCACGAAGCTGCGCAGTCCGGCAGGCTCAGGCTGTGCATGAAAAGCACATTGTCTGAGGCATCGGTTTTTGATATCGCAGGCTTTACGCTCCACCCGAACCCCAGGATATTGTTCACGGGATTCTTTTGGTTGTGCTGTGGATTGCAATTTGATGTTCACATCATGATTATGATGATCCCCTAAAGCCTATGTATGCCGAGGCATGGGTCCTGAGCCAAACGAGGCTGCAGCATGAAAGAGCTGTAGCAGTGTAGCACAATGCCAAGGCTCCAGGGTCCGGCAAGAAGGTTTGTTTAGTGAGCACGCCAGCAACACGGGCTATCTTTGTATACCTTACTGGTCATCGCGCAATTGAGACATTACAGATACAATGCGGCAATAGATCGCTTCTAATTGACCCAAGCTCGCTGCTCACCCTTTTGACCTTCGAATCGTCGCATGGAAGTGTGAAGGAAGCCACAACCCCCGTAAACCCAAATCCCTAAACCCTAATGCACCATGGACCTCGCCTGGCGTGTCCGAGTTGTGAGATATAAACCCTAAACCCCTTTAAGGAACCCTATAGATCCCTTTGAGGAACCCTATAGAGCGTAAACCCGAACCCAGAGTCTCCCGGGCGAGTCGGATTTCAAGCCGAGGCCTGTGAGGCAGGCGATTTGCGACGGCTTCCTGCAGAAGAAAGGGGTCAGTGTCCTGGCCGGATAGTTGCTTAAAGCTTCCGGTTTTCGGGGTCACTATTGGGGGTCTTTGATCTTGGGGAGATGGTGCGGAGTATCGGGTTTACAGCTGCAGGGCTTCAGGCTTTTTGAGGCGTGACGCACTTAGGCTTGTAGAGGCCTTGGCATGGGTTTGGGACCCAGTAGGAAAAATCTGTATCCTCATGCCCGTAAGGTAGAGTATAGGGCATCCCAACACTAGTCATCCCTAAACCATGTTCCAACTTTCTGGGGTTCACTATAATGTGACGTCGCCCAAGCCCCACGTGCTTCGCTTAAGCCTCATATTTCGGGAGGTCTTCGTCGATATAGAGGCTTCAGGGTTGATTTAGCGTATATCCTATCGGGGGACCGTAATGATTAGACTAAGGGTTTCTGGGTATATTCTGCTATACTTAAAATTACGAGCACCAAAAGGGGTCTATAATGATCGAAACCGGGTTTCGGCGATTCGAGGCACATGTCAAATTCTATGTATACTACGGAACACCAAAATGGTATTGGAAATTATTTAGGCCTGCTAGATTGGGGCCAGATAGAGTTTCCACTATCTTGCCGGTCGGCTACGATTCATAACGTTCCATCAAAGTTGAATATGTTGCAGCATCCTGCTCCCTGACCCTAAACCCCTAGCCCCACAAACCCCACGTGCATTCTGAATTGTACTTAGTCTGATGTGGCTTGATGGCTTCCCAAGTTTACTGATGACATTCGAGCTAAGGCTGTCAACTGCCCGCTTCACACGGAAAGTCTGTGGGTGTGTTTGGCACCGTGACGGGCTTGACCACATTCTTGGCAGCTGCGCGGCTTCACCTAGCCGCGATGCCTTCACCCTACTAGCAATGAAATCCGTTCATCCCTAGACCCTGTGAGACGCCCTGTCGAAGCTTAAAGACGCCCTGCAACCCCGACCTCCGAAGGATACAAAGTGTAAGGACCATGACAGAATCGGAGGAAGAGCCAGTGACGCTATCATTTTCGATTTCCTCCGTGCAGCAGGGAGCAGATCGCTTTTCCAGGTTCTTCATTGAGAAGCTGAGGACATGAAGAAATCGTACATCTTTTTGCACTCGGACGTGCAGCTGGTGATGCTTGCATTGGCGATACGAGTCATCACCCTGTTTCAGCTGGAGCTACGGGCAGGACAGGCTATGCAAGGAACTCGGCAGCAAGCCGACGACAGTTTGCAGAATCTGTTGCTTTGCTCTCGAACATCTCTTGCAACCAATGCTTCCAGGCAACCGACGGCAGCGCTTCATTTGTCGTCTTGCCTTGGCTTTAGTCGCATCTCAGCAGCAGACAACTGGAACCATGGTGTAGCCACGAAGCTTCAACTCCTCCAGTTTTCTTTTGTGGTGAAGCTGTGGCATCAGTTATATTGTATTATATCCTATCCCAATTTCCTTGTTATATTTGACTACATTATAAGTTACCATAGTCTAGCATAGTGTGTTTAGCACTCCAGGACCGCGGCAGTCTCCCACCTCGAGCTAGAACTGTTCCTACTGCTAGCACTAGTACTTGTACTGTTACTGGCACAAGTGCCATTACCACGACGACGACTAATACTACTGCCAATACTGCTGCTGCCACTACCACTACCACCACCGCCGCTGCTACTACTACTACTACTACTACTACGACTACGACGACGACGACGACTACTACTACTACTAATAATAATAATAATTTTTCTTCGTCTTCTACCACTACCACTACCGTTGATGCTGCTTCTGCTGCTACTGCTGCTGCTGCTGCTGCTGCTACTACTACTACTACTACTACTACTAACACTATTTCTACCGCAACTACTACTGCTGCTACTGCTAGTTAGTTCTACTGATGGCTAACAAACAACTATTACTACTTTTGTCTCTACCATTACCTGCCATCCCTTGGCGCCCCGTGGTCTCCCCAAGGCCACGCAAGTCACTCGTGTCGAACGGCATGTCGCCGGGACTCTGTACTGATCGTATGAATCCTAAACAGGGTACTGCAGGGGCCTGAACAATCGCCAACTTTATTCCTTGGGGTGCCGTACTGCAACTGTTCTGCAGTATACTTCAAAACATCCCCAAACCCTGTTCTATTTCTTCAGGCCCCTAAACCCTAAGCCTTAAACCCCCAAACCCTTTCTTATTTGGCTCTTCCGGGAAGCGTGGAACTGAAGCCCTGAAGCCCGGCGTGAGATGCATGGAGCCAAGCAGTAGCACAGAGCAGCCTAAGATCCGAGACGTCTTGCTTAAATGAGAGGACCCGCCCCCAACTCTGAACCTTAGACCCTATGTAGGAAGCCTCAAAGACCCCAAAAATGGCATCCAGGCCAGCTTCTTTATACTCACCATCCCTTTGGCGCCCAACGCCGGCGCCGAAGAGTGGATGATGCCTTCTTAGGGATTGGAGTAGCGCCGGGGACGGCTTTTCTGAAGTTGGCAAGAAGGCAGTCGATTGCAGAAAGAGGTTGCCTTAGCTGGCTTGGGTGCACCACCCATCCATTTAGTTGTTCTTGAACAGCATCGCCATGACGCTTCAACGAAATGCACATGTCTACCCTTTGAGATCGCCAGGCATGTGTCGAGAGGCCTGTCCAAATCTTGAAGTTCATGTGGTCCGAGACGGTTGAATGGACGTTGGGCACATGTTTATGGGTACTTGGGTGTCTTGTCGAATGCTGCCCGAAGCAGGCAATTCTCATGAAAGAGGTTCAGCCGTAGTGCTAGTGAGCACCATGCCCCTGAGTGTCTACGGGCCCAACCAGCATGTGCCAAGATGCGCATAGCTACTTTAGCTTCAGGCACTTGTCTTTGCGCAATGCCTAGACCTGAGTGCAGAGCCTTTGGGCAGGCTCCCTTCCGCCTTCAGTAACAACATGGGGCATGTCGCAAGTTCGGAGTCGCGGATGTTGTGCCCCAAATTCGCAGGGGAGGTCTGTGGATGTTGTGTGCTGAGGCAAAGCAGCCCATCTTGACGACAAAATGTCAGACAAGTCCAGCTCTGCCATGTCTAAAGCCCTAAACGCCGGTGGCTCCAGGGAGTGTTTGCCGAGGAGTAGGAGTGAAATCGGCCAAAGAGCTGAGCATAGCCATGCCGACCGGCGTGCTTGTTCAGTTCACGGATGAGGAGCCAAAATACAAGCCACTACAACCCTCCACCCCATACACCTCCGACTTTTTGGGAGGAAAAATAAAAAATACACCTCCGACAGCCGACTTCGACCCTAAACTGCTTCAAACCCTGAGGGAAAAACGCTGCACCCCAACCCCTCGAGACCGGTGCCCCAAGAGGAGTCGCTGTCCAGCGACTGCCACCCATCGCCTTCAGATGTGGAGCACTATGACTCTGCCAGCTCGGTCAACACCGGGAGCTGCATGGGTCAGTTCTGCTTCGTTTGGGGTTTTCTTGGACCCCAAAAAAGTATGTGGAATAATAGCCTTTTTACAGGTGTTGGGGCCATGAGTTTACCTACTTTGGGGGTTTTGATAGGGTCTAGGGTGTTTTTACCTTGCTGGCACATCAGAGAGATCCAGCTTCAAATCAGGGTATTGTTGACATTATTGAGCGTGTTCAAAGATGTCTGCATGTCGCTGGCGATTCTGCATAGTCGTAGTTTCTTCGAAGCGGCTGAGAGCCCAGATGCCGTGCTCTTGATCGATGATGGTTCACAGTTTCCCGATGTCATGACGCATTCCTTTTGTTCTTGGGCAACATTACGGATCCTCCTCGTTTTGCTGTGGTCACCCTGCCAGCCAGGACACAACCCATGCCTTGCGGAGAGGCGGTCTCGAGCAACGTGAGCACCGCAGCCTTCCAACTCTCCAAGCCAGACGTTGAGAACCGGATCCAGGAGCTTTTAGTGGACGACATGGGGGTTTCGTTCTACTGTGGGATCCTAAGGCTGCTGTAGTCTTGTCTCAATGGTTAACAAGGAGTCCCGACAGCCGGTAACACTGGCTGGTGCTCTGCACCTAGTTCTAGTTTGTCATTGCCCGACATGAAAAGCGTTTGGGCATTGCTGCGGCACGCTTTCTGTAGCAAACCTGTCCCGCTCAGATTCTTTGGTGCATCGAAACATACTCTCACGAGTTTTCCTCAACCAAGGCTCTTTACTCCTATTGTCATGTTTGAACCTCTTGGCCTTGTACGACGCTGCTCGGGGAGGTTAGGATCCTTGTTCTGAAGATCACAAGAGCGCCCCTTAGTTTAAAGAGCCTCACACGGAGACACCGCTGAGGAGGCTCCGTGCAGCAGGTGCCTCAGCATTTGGACCTGGGGTACCTGTGGCCTACCTCTTGGGGGCTTCTTCCTTGCCTTCCTAAACTCGGCTTCTCGGATGCTTCCGGCTCCTGGGTTTAGGGGTTTTGGGCGTTACTACCTTGATATAATTTCCGTGGTTTTTCGATTCCGGACAAGCAAGGCTTCTTCCAGCATTGTCTACGGCTTCTTCCTTGGATACATGGGGTTGGATGCGTATGTTTTGCTGTCCATCCAAGCGCTTATGAAGCTTCCACAAGTGTTGCTTCTTCCTTTTGGCATGATGAACGACTGCCTGCCGATTTTCGGCTACAACAGAAAGCCGTATTTCGTGGCATCCTGGATCATCAGTGGCAGTGCGCTGTTGATCATGAGCCTGCGGCCCCTGCCTGCGCCCTACTACTGCCAAAAGGACGATGGCAGCTACGACGTGATGTCACCACCATGCAACCCCAGCATCCATGACGAGAAGAACTGGTATGTCTTCCCACTCTTCATCCTTACTGCAGGTGTTCAGTTGGGAGTTGTGGCTGGTGAGGGCCTCCTCCTGGAGTACTCGCAACGGGAGCCTCTGGAGTGCCGTGGGAAGATGAAGGCCGAGTTCACAATGGTGACTATGGCAGGCTCCCTTGTTTCCTCAGCAGCTGTTGGGGTCTTCATGAATGGAAAGGAATATCTCGGTACCTTTGACTGGGGCCTGTCCTTCAGTGGCTTCATGACAATGTGCCTGCTCATGGTCACCTTCCTGATCCCGATCTGCTTACTTTGCGTTCACGAGCCCAAGAAGTCCACCAGACCGTCCTGCTGCACACATGTGAAAGGCTCTTGGACGCTGGTCAGCAGCCATCAGCTTAAATCTAAAAGTCTGAGCGAAGCACAAAGTAGTGAGATCAGACATGACAGTGCTCGTGGTTATGGTCGTTGTTGTCGTTGTTGTCGTTGT